GGGGGGGGGGCAGGGGTGTCCCACAGGAGGGCGCCACATCTGCTGCTAAACTGTCAAAGTGTCTACAGACCCCTCATTCCCACTGGACTTACCCACCCCCAGGGTTGGGACAGGGAAGCCACAGTACTGGTGCCAAACCAGGCCCCACTGCCCACGCCCTGCCCCCAGGCCCCCTCTTCTCGGGAGCACTAGGCCCAGCCCCAACGGGACTCCTCTGACCTGGCCCTTCTACCCCACCTAGGACCAAATCTGGATTCCCTGGGACTAGTGGAGGAGGCTGAGATGGGCAGTTTGAGCCCTGTGCATCCCAGCTTAAGTCCTGGCGGCAGAGAGGTCCTGGGGCAGCCCCCCAATGGGCTCCTGGTCCCCTCAGGCCGACATCCACTTCCCCCTCCGCCCAAGCCCTGCAGGCGTCAAGACAGTGACAGTACAACTGGCTCAGACCCAACCCCACACACCTGGAGCTCTAGGCAGAAATGACTCACATTAGACGTGTCCCAGGGGACACACAAACACAGACATGCACATGGGGTGGGGTAGGGGCGGGGGCTCAAAGCCTTACACAGGGTGAGGGGTTGGTGGGAGGGTTGGCATGTGCACACTCCATCTCCTGCTCACCGCCCGCCTCTAATCTGACCTGCAGCCCAGCTGGTCCCCCATCTCTAAAGCTGAATGTCAAACAGTGCCAAATGCTGGGGCATGGGGTAAAGACCCCTCTGTCCCACCCTAGCCGCCAGTGTCCCCCTAAATGCCCCTCATACCCCCAGGTGCTCATTGTAACCATTTATCACTAGTGTCAGGCCCCTGTGGGACCACATGCCACTGCCTGCACCCCTTGGCAGAGGAATCCTCACCAGACATCGCCCTTTGCCTTAGCAGGGTGACTTAATTGCTCCTGGCTGGGCCATCCCACCCCCCCAATCTGGCCCTTACACACTCAGGCCTGTGCCCACTTCCTATCTTTTTCCCATTCACACACACACTCCCTGCCCCCCAGGAGGCCAAACTGCTCCTCCCTGCTAAACACACACTTGCACACGCATACACACATAAACACACACTGTGCACACAAAGAGGCTGGGCATGGGCACACTTCTTCACACCATTCATTCTGGTCATTTCCTCCAAAGGCATCCCAGCCTGGGGGCCAGTGGGGGACTGAGGGCAGGGGATGTGGCCATGGGGCTCCGATGGACTGGGAGGAGGGGGGAGGGTGATGCATTAATTAATGGCTCCGTTAATTAATGTCATGTTGCTTGTCGCTTTCTCAGTGTGTGTGTATGGTCCATGCCCGCTGCTGGTGCCAGGGTGTACACCCGGCCTAGATGCCAGCTATGTCTTGCAGGGGCGTGTGTGTAACTGTAGTGTAGTCAGGTGCTCAATGGAGAATATAAAAATAAAAAAGAATCAAACATATACAGAAAAATATATATTTTAAGTTTAAAAAACAGAAAAACAGACAAAACAATCCCCATCAGGTAGTTGTCCAACCCCCAGCTGGGTCTGATCCTTCTCATCACCCACCCGACCCGGCTGCCCCCTCACCTCGGGCTTGGGGGATCTGTGGGGGACTGGGGGGCCATTTCCTTTTCTCTGCCCTTTTTTTGGTTGTTCTATTTTGTACAGACAAGTCGGAAAAACAACAGCGACAAAAAAGTCAAGAAACTTTGTAAAATATTGTGTGTGTGATTCCTTGTAAAATATTTTCAAATGGTTTATTACAGAAGATCAGTTATTAAATAATGTTCATATTTTCACTTCAAATGGTTCCCATCCACTGTGTCTGCCCTGGGGTGAGAACTGGGTGGCTTGAAGACAGGGCACCTTTACCTCAGAGCCCCACTCAGCACTCAGCCAGGAGTGAAGGCCATAGCAATCCAGGTCCCTGGTGGGTGTAGGACACAACAGGCATGCCGCTTCCCAGACCTCCTAAAGACCAGATACTTGAATCCTTTGTCCTGTATAATCCCAAAAGCATGTGGGGAAAGCTGTTTAAAAAACAAAAACAACTCCCAGTGGCTCAAGGAGATGAGATGTGGGTTTAGGCAGGCATCCAGCCATCGAGTCAGGCTACCCCGGCCTAGTGGGCAGGTCCTCCACCTGAAGTCAAGAGTGAGCACCTGGCCCTGGGTCCAGTACCTGGTGCTTGAGGGCCCAGTGCTGCTGTTTGGAGGAGCCAGGGTCTAGTCCACTTAAAGGCATGATGCTGCTCTTCCCAGCACAAGGGAAGCTCAAGGCCTGATGCTCTCCATGGCCATGGCCACTGCTCGCACTGGAACCCAACTCTTTTATTCATTTTAATCCCAACTCTTAATAGTTAACCCTAGTCCATGTGACCTTCGAGTTCTTTTCAAGGAGAAAGATATAACCACCAGTGCAGAGGTTTCCTGGTGCTACTGACAATACACACTCAGCACTCATCAGTGGCTTCTGGATGAGTCCTCAACACAACCTTAGAGTTGGATACTAGTTTATCCCCATACTGCAGATGAGCACACAGACTTAGGAGAAATCCTTTCTCCCCAGATGAAGAGGGCAAGAAATCAGCAAAAGTTTCAGAGAGGAAGTGGCCTGTGTCTGGGGGGCCTTAGATGCTAAATAAATGGAGGAGGGCATTCCAGGCCTTAGCGAAGACACCTTTCCTCGCTCCTCTGCAGGAGCTGGCCACAGAGCAACGCCTAACTAGCAACCTCTGAGACAGCCCCCACTCCCTGAAACAGCCCCGGAGGTCCTGGGTTAGGGCTGCCAGATAAAATACAGAACAATCAAATTTGAAGTTCAGATAAACAACAAATATTTTTTAGTATATATTATTGCATGGGACATAACTATACTAAAAAAAAGTACATGCTTATACTAAAAAAAGTATTCATTGTTTATTTGAACTTTAAATTTGATCAAGCACCTTGTATTTTGATTTGTTAAATATGGCAACCCTACCCTGGCAGTGGCACCCCGTGGGAACCCAAACCGGAGACAAAGATAAAGGGTGTCAGCACCCTTTGTAATCTGGAAGGCTATGCGCATGTTGGCAGTAGTACTGAAATCTGTAGCTGAAAGGAAGAGATTCTGCACTTTATAAATGTGCTTTGTCAATTATTTTAGTTATATGCACATTTCTAAAAAGTAACTCGATACAAAAAAAACAGCTTGCACAGGACACAACCTGCCAGAAGCCACCATTGCAATGAAGTGGGGACCCAGGGCCAGTCTTGTCCAAGTTTGTGGGGAGACCTCTCTTCCTCTGGGCCAGCAATCAAAAGTTTGTGGGGGGCAGGAAACCTCAGTTTGAGTCGTGGTTCTACCTTACTTGTAACAAGGGCAGCCTGGGCAACACACGGTGCACCCAGGGGGAACTGGCATTTTACACTCCAGTCCCCTTGGACCCTCACAGCATGTCTCCATGAAACTGAGTTTCAACAAAGTCCAGGAACTTAGCTGCCAATGTCACACAGCTGCCGAGTGGCAGAGCAAGAATTCCAACCTGGGTCCGGCCCCATACATCCCATACAACCTGAGTCTGGCTTACACCAGGCCATGGAAGTTCCCGTACACTAGGACATACACCAGGAGACAAAGATAAAGGGTGTCAGCATTCTTGCCCACACACCTACCCACAAAGACACACCCACTCAGATGTACATGCACAAGGAGCCACTCTTTCCGGGGGATTCAGCAACGTGTGGCATGCAGGGTGCTGCCTCCGAACCCGCCGTGCTCCTTCACCCGCTCCCACCTCCCGAGGACCGGTGGAAAATGGTCCTGAAAACTGCAATTCCCAAGCATACCTCCTCTCACCAACGACGGGACCGGCCGGGGCGCACAGCCTCCTGGGACTTGTAGTTTGACTCAGAGCCCTGATTTCCGCTCGTCCCAGCTTCCGCCGAGGACTCGGAATCCCAGCATGGAGCGGACCCGGAAGACCTGCGCTGAGAGGGCATCCCGCCGCCGCCCGGGGCGCGCAGGCGCAGCACCCCTGTTTGTCGGCGGCCGGGAAGGGAGGAGGTACGGTCGAAGCCGAGACCCAGGCCAAGCTGGAGCTGACCAGCCTTGACTTGGGCCCAGAACTCGGCTCCAGTCCCGCGCGGACCGGATTGTAGGACCGCGGAGTGGATGGAGCGGGCCCACCCCTGAGGTCAACGGCAGCCCACTGGGCCTGGCTCGGGGCCCACAGGGCGGGCGGGCCGGCGGACCGGAGCCGCCCAGGGCCTTCCCTCAGGTCCCCGGCGAGGGGCCTTGGCCCCGCCCTGCCCTGCAACCAGGCCCGGCCCGGCCCTTTGCCACCGGAGTCGATCCGAACAGAAGTGGAGTCCTCACCGGGGCCATAAGCCAGTGACTAGGGCGGACCCGGGCCTCCCGTCGGGGCCGGCCTGGGACGAGGCCCCGGGGAGGCCCCTGGCCCACTAGACCCTTCGCTTAGGCCGACGCCCGCCGGGAAGATGCAGCGCGCCCTACCCGGCGCCCGCCAGCACCTGGGGGCCATCCTGGCCAGCGCCAGCGTGGTGGTGAAGGCCCTGTGCGCGGCGGTGCTGTTCCTCTACTTGCTGTCCTTCGCCGTGGACACGGGCTGCCTGGCTGTCACCCCGGGCTATCTCTTTCCGCCCAACTTCTGGATCTGGACCCTGGCCACCCATGGGCTAATGGAACAGCACGTGTGGGATGTGGCCATCAGCCTGGCCACAGTGGTGGTGGCTGGACGTTTGCTGGAACCCCTCTGGGGGGCCTTGGAGCTGCTCATCTTCTTCTCAGTGGTGAACGTGTCTGTAGGGCTGCTGGGGGCCTTCGCCTACCTCCTCACCTACATGGCTTCCTTCAACTTGGTGTACCTGTTCACTATCCGCATCCATGGCGCCCTGGGCTTCCTAGGTGGTGTCCTGGTGGCACTGAAGCAGACCATGGGGGACTGTGTGGTCCTGCGTGTGCCCCAGGTGCGCATCAGCGTGGTGCCCATGCTGCTGCTGGGGCTGCTGCTGCTACTGCGGCTGGCCACGCTGCTCCAGAGCCCGGCACTGGCCTCCTATGGCTTTGGGCTGCTCTCCAGTTGGGTGTATCTTCGCTTCTACCAGCGCCATAGCCGAGGCCGAGGGGACATGGCCGACCACTTTGCTTTCGCCACCTTCTTCCCTGAGATCCTACAGCCTGTGGTGGGGCTGTTGGCGAACTTGGTGCACAGCCTCCTGGTGAAGGTAAAGATCTGCCAGAAGACAGTGAAGCGCTATGATGTGGGGGCCCCATCCTCCATCACCATCAGCCTCCCAGGCACAGACCCTCAAGATGCAGAGCGGAGAAGGTACTGTGGAATCTTCTGAAACCTTGTCAAGCTAGGAGAGTATTTATTAAGTCACATGTCATCTGCCAGGGTGCCAAGGGTCAAGTGTTGGGGCAGATTCAGAAAGGTCAAATCCGATTTGTGGCCTTGAGAAACTCAGCATTTAGGTGTCTGGGCTCCAGTAGGTGCTTTCCACCATCAGGGAATATTGCTTTTCTCACCATTCAGGCCGCCTAACAAGTCTAAGAAATGTCCAGTTTCCTTTGGTGCTGTGTGAGGGGCTAATGGAGAGCCAGACACGCATAACTCTGGCCTTGTTTCAGAATCTTGGAATCCTAGACACTGGCTCTGTGGATGCCAGAAACAACCTGCTGGTCTGTGAGATGGAGGGACAGAGGAGACCTGGGATCCTTAGGCAGTCTGAGCCACCCCCATTTCCAATTGCTGAACCATGGCCTCTTCCTGGGCCTTAATTTAGATACTGTGCTTCTTTGCCACTTATTGAGAGGGAAGCTTGAGATATTACTAGAATTACAGCACCCC